GTACAGCATTGACTGCTCAGTTCATGCACTGCGTTCTCTGATTCTCACAGGCAATGATGATTATGTTAACCCCGTATCTGGCCCATCTGGCCCGGAGTTCTCATGTTTCACTCATGTTTCTGATCTCCCTGCCGCGCTAAAAGGAGTGCCTCAAACGTTGTGGGCAGCTCACAAATATGATGTAGGTTTGATCCGCTCTGCTGAGCCTGTAGTTATCACTCCTAAATCCACGTTCCGCCCTAATCAACCCCAGTACCCATTGAAACGTGAAGCTGTTGATGGCATTCGTCCAGTTTTTACCTCCCTGCTTAAACAAGGGGTTATTGTTCCGTGTAACAAGTTTCTAAAGGCACTGCACTCATACAGTATGTCGATGACATTATGATTTGTGCGCCCACAGCTGAACAATGTGAAGTCGACACTGTTGCTTTGTTAAAACACCTCGCAGCCGAGGGCCACAAGGCCAGTTTGTCTAAACTCCAATATGTACAAAGAACAGTTACATTTTTGGGTCATGTCATTTCAGGAGAGGGGAAAACGCTTTCAGATAAGCGTATTGCATCATTGGCAGCTTTGCCAAAACCTGTCACTAAACGACAAATGATGTCATTTTTAGGTATGTGTTCATACTGCAGGTCATTCATTCCAAACTATTCTCCACTCGAACTGCCACTCCGTACAATCACGCATGTCACTGGTTTGAAACCTACAGGTCACCTTATATGGACACCGGAAGCCAATCAAGCCTTCATTAACATGAAGCTGGCTCTCCAATCCCCACCGACACTAGGTCTACCTGATCACACTAAACCTTTCACTCAGGCAGTGGATGAGCGAGATGGGTGTATGACCTCAGTTCTCCTTCAGGATCATGGGGGAAAACAGAGGCCTGTTGCCTATTTCTCCTCCAAGCTAGATCCTGTAGCTGCTGGCCAGCCAAAATGTCTCCGTGCGGTTGCTGCAGCTGAAAAAGCTCTCAACTCCTCACGTGACATTGTTGGTTATGCACCTTTGACACTGTTGGTTCCACATGCTGTGTCTCTCATCCTCTGTGAACAGAGAACATCACACCTCTCTGCTGCACGTTACCTGAGGTATCACACATGCCTGTTAGACATGCCTAACGTCCATGTCAAAAGGTGTAATACCCTGAACCCTGCCTCTCTCATGCCTCTACCTCACGACGGTGACGAACACAACTGTGTTGCTGAACTTCTCATTGTGTGCACACCAAGACCTGACTTAAAAGACGTTCCACTGACTAACTCTGACCTCATTTTGTATGTTGATGGGTCTGCCTCTCGCGACCAAGGGGGCACTAATCGGGTGGGTTTCTCTGTTGTTTCAGATTCTGCTGTACTCTGTTCCGGCCCACTCCCATGTCACCTCTCAGCACAGGCAGCAGAGCTCATCGCACTAACAGAAGCCTGCACGTTTGCAAAGGGCAAAACTGTAACTATCTATACTGACTCACGATATGCTTTCGGGGTAGTACACGATTTTGGGGCCATTTGGAAGTGTAGACAATTTCTGAAGTCTGATGGCAAGCCCGTACTTAACCACGTACTTATTGCTGGCCTATTGGACGCCATTCTGCTCCCGTCTGAGGTTGCAGTCTGTAAATGTGCCGCACACACAAGCAGTACAGACCCTGTTTCCCTAGGAAATGCGTCTGCTGACTCAGCTGCAAAGGCAGCTGCTCTGATTCCTCTTGCACCCCACGCACACTCATTTGTTAAAATTCCTGTTTCCTCCTTCACTGATAACATGTCATCACTGTCTTCCATGCAGCAGCTCGCCCCACCGGTTGAGAATGCTCAGTGGAAGGCTGCTGGTGCTGTTTTTGACCCAACCGCCAGCATCTGGGTTGGACCAAATTGCAATCCATGTCTTCCGAGGCATTTCTTCCCTCATTTTGCTAAATTGACACATGGGTTAGATCATGTGTCAAAAGGAGGGATGTTAGAGGCTATCAATCAGGCGTGGTTCACAAGGGGGTTCACAGGGGGTTCACAGTAACAGCTCAAAAGCACTGTGAAGCATGCTTAATTTGCATTACAAAAAATTCTGGTAGACCGGTAAAGGTTACAGGATCAGGAGCACATCCACCTCCCACCAGACCATTTGAGCACCTAATGCTGGATTTCATTGAGCTTAGTCCATCAGAGGGTAAGAAGCATTGTTTGGTGGTGGTTGACATGTGGTCCAAGTGGGTTGAAGCTTTCCCAGTAAAGGCACAGACAGCAAATGCTGTGGCAAAGGCACTACTGAGGGAAATCATTCCTAGATGGGGAATACCAGACAAGATCTCTAGCGACAATGGTTCACATTTTGCTAATGAGGCCATTGCACAGATAGGAGAATACCTGGGCATGGACATCAGAAAGCATTGTGCTTACCATCCACAGAGTGGGGGTGCGGTGGAAAGAGAGAACGGCACAATTAAAAACAAGCTAGCAAAATGCTGCGCAGACACAGGTCTGTCGTGGACACAGGCTCTGCCCATTGTGTTGATGTACATGAGGATGCGGAAACGAACACGAAGCCAACTCAGCCCATTTGAAATCCTTTTTGGTGCTCCTCCACAGATTGGAATCAAGGCTCCAGGATATCCTCTCCCCTCCACAACCTTGTGTGAGGATGCTATGTTGTCATATTGTGTTAACCTGTCATCCGCTTTAGCAGATATCAGACGTCAGGTAGCAGCAGCTCTACCTACTCCTGCCACTGGTCCACTTCACCGTCTCCAGCCCGGCGACTACGTGTTGGTCAAGGATTTCCGGAGAAAGAGCTGGAAATCCAACCGTTGGCAAGGTGCTTCTCGTCACCCAGACAGCGGTCAAGGTCGCCGAGAGAGCCACGTGGGTCCACGCCAGCCACTGCAAGGTCGTAGTCACAGGCCAGGAGAAGCGGGAGAAACAGACAACAACAAGTGACGTGCCAAGTCACCAACGGTAGAAGCAGACGACGACAAGTGACGTGCCAAGTCACCACCAGCACCACACTGCACCACATACACCTGACTCTCACACTACACACACACAGGGTGGCATGAGTGAGTGCCAGTTGAGCTGTTTCATATGCCTCTGGTTCCTCGTTTGTGCTGTCATTGTGTGGGGCTTCGTTGACATCGTTACAAAGTCAGCCAAGTGACTTCACACTGACAGATGGAGCCTCTCCACCTCGTGTTGAAGGATCGCCTGGACAGACGACAACGCATCCGTAAACGATGTGAGCAATTCAGAAACTGTTGGAGAGTCTGGACGATCGCAGAATGGTTCCTTTGCATTTTCCATGATATATTTGTGATGTGTTCACTTAAACCAGCGATGGGGTGTATTCATTGATGTGTTATACCAGTCGATCCTGTCATTTGTTTATTTTCATGATTGATCAAAGTATGATCAAAAGGAGGGAATGTAGTGGCAAACTTTATATGTAGTGGAAAACTCTATATGTAGTTCAAACTTTATATGTTACCTAATATGGTAAAACCAAATGCAGTAGTTCCATGATGATGTATTTCAGTTCATGTCCTTTGTTCAACATATAACTAACCTTAAGGATGTCTGGGGGTGAGACACAGTGTCGTGAGCAAAGTGTGAAGCAGTGTCTCAAACAAGTTCCTGTGTTTGTTCCTTGTCTTACAATGAGTTCCTAAATTCTTGGTTATATCTGTCGTAACCTCACAATGACTTCCTGCTGTCCTCACTTGCACCTGTCTCTGACCCACAATGTGTTCCTAATTTCAACACTTCCATCTGTCTTAAACCAGTTCCTGTTTTTAGCTAAGTTCCTGATTTACTATATTGCCAATGTACAGTTTCTGTTCCTCTGGAAAGCGGGCGTAGCTTATCTCTCCATCCAGCCCTGCCACAGTGACAGGTGACGAAGTACTGTTGAACTGTCAAGATCCTATAAAACCTATACGCACTCTTGTCTCTGTGCGCACTCTTCCAGAATACTCTGTACTCCGTGAGACCTGTGCCTTATTTGAAGCTTCAAATAAAGAACCAGAAAGACAACTCTGTTTCCACCATTTTATTGATTGATCATTCTAATTGTATATCTCCACAGTATTGACTAGGTCTAAGATTTCCAGAACACTAACTATGCTAGAAATGTCATGCTTTTCTCATAAAATGCACAATTGTTGTGCTTATCCGCTGTACTACTACAGTTCAGAGGTAAATTATGTACTTTTCCTCCACTACATGTATTTAATACCTTTAGTTACTTCACAGATCTGGATTAATGATGTGAAATATAATCAAGTGTTAAATCAGACTTTAGTTCCACCTGGAGTAAATTCACCAGCTACCCTGCACGTATACAAAGTCATTCAAACTAGCTGCACCTTTACCAGCTTTGATAACACTTAAATGACAATAATTATAAAACACATCATATATTATTCTGAAATGGACCAATCTGCACAATGACTACTTTTACTTTTGCTACTTTAACTATATGTTCATGCTAATGCTTTTGTACTTTTACTTGAGTAACATTTTGAATGCAGGACTTTTACTGTAACAGAGTATTCCTACACTTTTACTCGTACAAGATCTGTGTACTTCTACCACCTCTGGTAAAAAGTATCTAGTATAATAATTACCAATAACATTCTGATGAAGGGACTCTGGTCTCTACTAAATGTGATTAAGTTCCCGGTATTGCCAGAGGGGGCAGCAGAGTTCAGCTGATCTCTCCCCCGCTGCTGCGCCTCCTCCGCCGGGCTCCAGCTTCTCCTCCGCTCTGCTCCAGCTCCGGGCTTTACCTCCAGCCTCTGTAGATCAGTAGCTCAGTAGCTCCATACTCTGCCAATGCCTCTCCACCTCCCTCTCTCTCCAGATGTAAAGAAGAGAGAGAGAGAGAGAGAGAGAGAGAGAGAGTGTGTGTTTGCACCCTCCCTTCCACACTCCTCCTCCTCTTCTTCCGAGCCTCTCCATCAGTCCTCCCCGGCAGACGGAGCAGACCTCCGGGAAGGCAGCGTGGATTGTACCCCACCTCGCATCAGTGTGAATGGGATTGAATAATGGAGCCTCTGTCTGCATAGTTACTGGAACTTATTCCTCCCCCCGGACAGAAGGAAACTAACAGCGGTGTGTCTTGTTGGGATTTCTCTTCTCTTTTTTTCTTTTCGGTAACAAACCCCGACCAAGGAGGTTTTTTTGGGGAGAGGAGAGGTTGTTTCATCCCTCTCTCTCCTCCTCATCCTCCTGACTCAACATCCTGCTTTTTTGTTATTTATTATATATTTTGAATTGATACTTGGGTTGTGGGGAAGATCTTTTTAACCAGACACCAGCAGGATCTGCGGGTGGTGGTTCCGGTGGTTCCGGTGGTTCCTCGGGCTGTTCGGGACCGGAGCGGGGCAGCATGGAGCCGGGTTCGCTGGGATGTATGGGTGATGTTTGGGGGCTGATGGAGCGGAGGAGAGGGGGGGCAGGAGGTCTGTACCTGCTGCTGCTCTGCTGGCTGCTGGCTGCTCTCACCGCAGCGCAAGGTGAGTCGCAAACCAATAAAACATATGCTGATATCAAGTGTGTGTGTGCGTGTGCGTGTGCGCGCGTGCCGGTTGCCGCAGACCAAACGAGAATTGACACATTTGTTGCTTCACTGAAAAAACGGAAACCTTGACTTTAATTAAATGTATTATGTCAACACATGTCATATAAATGTATGAGGTTAGTTGAAACATTAATATTAAGTTGAACCAAATATTTGTTATTTAAACTGAATATTAGTGCTTTCAACTAACCTCATTAATTAAGTAAGTAATTAAAGTCAATTTTTCAGTTGTTCAGTGTGCTCCTGGTCTACTGCTGTACAAATCCTAACCCGGCAGGGATCGGGTCTGGCCGGGTGGATCTCGGTTGATCCGGGCTGCAGATCAGATCAGCTGCAGGCTGTAAGCGGCTTATTCTGGGTCTCAAAGGTTTCTACTGTGCTTCAGCAGGTTCCAGGCTGGGGTCCTGGCTTGGCTTCTACTTTGAACAGCGTTTAGTGAATTTCACTGGATTTTTCTCCTACCTTCCATCACCTAAAACACCATATTAACCATGACTGATCAGGCTGAGGATTGGCTTTCTGATCAGGTTTGGGGTTTGATATTTATGTGGTTGATTATTAGTCTGGTTAACATGAGTTCTGCTACTCTGATCATGTTGCTTATACTTCCAAAAAGACTAGGCTTGGTTTGTCTGACTGAAATTAACCAGGTGTTGCTACTAGACTTGACCAGGTTAGCAGAGGTTTTTATGTGTTTGATGCTTTACCATATCACACCTTACATCACCTTCTCCTGAAGCTTAGTGTTCTCAGAGTTTTGCCTTCAACTTCTCATGAAGCAACGATGACTGGTCAGGTTTAGGACGCTGATTTTGGACAGATCCATTGATACTTTATTGATCTCAGAAGAAGGCTACATGCCATGTAAATCACATAGCAAATGGAAAAGCGGTGTGAAAAGCGGTGGTGGCGAAGTCCATAGGGACTTGGCTTGGGAACCGGAAGGTCACCGGTTCAAGTCCCCGAAAGACCAAGTGCTACCGAGGTGTCCCTGAGCAAGGCACCGTTCCCTGCACACTGCTCCCCGGGTGCCGTACATAATGGCACCCATCCTAACACTAGGATCGGTCAAATGCAGAATGTAAATGTCCCCTATGTGGGACGATTAAGGGTATATAAAATCAAATAAAAAATAAATAAAAATGGCAAAAAATCAAGATCATCATACGTACAAAAGAAAATAAACTATAAAACCATACCATCCTTAAATGTATCAATTGAATGTTTGCTGTGCATGATATGTCTAATTTAAGTTTCCATGCTGTTCATTTAGGTGCAAGATTGTCTAGACATCTGGAATATAATGAACTTTTACCATCTACTTTACCAGTTGTATTTGTAATTTGTACTGTACATTAAATTATATACAGTATATACAGTATATAGGTGATTTTTAAATAAATAGATGGTTCAGTCCACTTTAGGAAATCCCAAAGCATTGTTAGAGAATCACTTAATGTTTTTTGATTTGCTTTATGATTTAGATTGTTGTGTGTGTCTCCTGCTGTAAATACATTCAGTCCAAACACTTCAATTAGGCTAATTGTGACAAACACACACACACACATACATACACACACACACACACACACACACACACACACACACACACACACACACACACACACACACACACACACACACACACACACAATAACAGAAGCACTCCACCTGTACCATTCATGAAACCTTAAACACTGACATTTTATGGAACAGCACACATCACACGTTCCTACTCACTCTGACAGCTCCGATTGGTCTTTGCTTAGAAAATATCTCCAGGCTGTTGGTCCTCCATGGCGCCCAGCCTATGGTCTGGTCACTCCAACATAGAAATGGCATTTAGAAATGTGAAATCAGGTGATTCCAATGGTATTGAGAATAACTTTGCCAGCCTAAGAGTTAGAAAAGGAGGTGTAGCTGTGTCATGTTCCCTCACCTTCTGCTGAACTGTAAACTGTAAACTGCTACTCAAAAGAAGCAGTGACCTTTAAACAGACCAAGGGTCTAAATTGTACTCTGTCATCAGTCAATCAGACCAGGTATATTCTCAGGTGTTTGTTACAATTAGAGCAATTAAAATGAAATGGCATGTTAGGTTAAAGCATCCTTATTGGCAATGGTTTATGTGTTTGTTGTTAAGTACCGATATTGTAGCACAGTAAGTGATGTTGGGCTCAGCTAGGTTTTTCTAAGATCTGTTTATTTCTACAAAATTACAGCCTTCCAAGCATTGCAACCAATTGACATTGCTCCTTCTCCGCTGCTGGTATTATTTTGCCACCATGTATCGAAACAAGGATGTTGCATTTAAGTCTTTCATTGCCATAACTGCACTGTAGCTACTGTGCATATGACGATAAAGCCTTTGAATCTTTGAATAACAGACATTATTTCCTTGAATAGACATTGCTGGAAAACTTCATGATTTTGCAGTTGAAATGATATCCTACTCATCCATGAAGCGGACAAGGCTGGATCATTCACCAACTTAAAAAGTCAAATGTATGTCATTATTAAAATGAATAGTCTAATTACTCTTCAAGAAGAAAATACTTTGAGAAGAAAGTATCCTTGGTGGGCTGAAAGGTGTTCGGAGAGTAGGAAGCAGCTTATTGTGAAAAGTGATTTAAAGCTCCCATGTCATGCTTTTCCGGTTATTACCCGTCCCCTTGTGTGTTATGAAGGTTTTTATGCATGTAAACGGTGTGCAGAGTCAAAACCCTCAAAGTACACCCTGTAGCGAGTAAAACTCTAACACAGAAAATACCTCCCCAAAACGCCTCGTTGGAGATACGTCACTGCCCATTTGAGTCTTCCATTTAGTTCCGGGTACCGCCTGATGTCATGCGGTACCCGGAACGAAATGGACCAATCCCGAAGAGCTATGGCCACACCAGCAGCGTCGTGTTCCTCCTCCAGAGGTTCGAAGAACCGGCATTTCACAGACGAAAGCTTCCAAAACATTGCCCAGTTTGAGGCCGGATATGCACAGCTTGTTTGGACCGTTTGGAGCAGGGGAAGATCTGGGTATACAACCTGTAAGTTTGCATTGTTATTTGTGTATTTATCAAACAAGACTGTTTAAATGTGTAAACTGTGTTGGACTGCTAAGCCATTGACACAGTGCTAACTAAGTTGCTAGAGTTTCCATATATCAACTCTAATATCAGCAGATGGCCTTGCATACATGTATCTCATAGCAGGAGAATGTCTGCATTCACACACAAAATACCTATTGACAGTATACTCCGGGTGATTTGCCGGTCAGTCGCGAAACGTAATTACATTATAGCTGGCGTAGCGATCTAACACACGGAGCTAGAGCTAGTTTCGGTCAGAAAAACATTTTTGTGATGCTACGTTGCTAGCGTTTAAATATATCAACTACAATGTCAGCAGATGGCCTTACATGTTTGTCATGGCAGGAGAATGTCTGCAGTCACACACACGGAATACTCATACAGTATACTGTACTGTGATTTACCGTACATTGTGACCGTACATATACTGCATGTAGCTAACGAGGCTAGCTGTATGCTAGCGCAAAACAATGTATTCATGCAAGTTACATTGTATGACCGAACGTAGCAGAATACCCGTATACGATTGCAATTATAAACACGTTATTGCTAGCCTAATATGAACCACTAGCTTTTGTTCATAGTAGTTTTATTACACTGCATTATAGTTGCCTTTCCTCCAAGCTAACGTTCATATCGTGTTAGCTACCAAGGTAAACAAAGCTAGGTTAGCATATTAGCAGGCAAGCTGTTCATTACACAACTACTACTAACGAATCTAAAACAACTAAGTTTCTCTAATATTTTGTGATTTGCATTTGATTTCGTCCAGCCAGATCCTGGCGGACAATCCATGACGGGGAAGGGATTCTACTACTACTGAGGGTGCTAAAAGGCACCGCACCGACTGTGCGCAGGCAAGATGCGAGGAGGAGGAATGGATGATATACCGTGTATATATGTATATTTATGTTCATTTTGTACATTTCTAAAAATAAAGTTTAATGGAAATACTTAGTAGGCCTATCCTTTCTTCCCTGAATTCATATATAGCAAACCATGATTTGATTTCTCATCAAACAGTAGTAGTTTATAACGGGTAAAAATAACTTACTCTTTGTTATGAGAGTAGCTCGTAGGCCACAACGGAAAGGCAAGGAGACATACACGAGTTTACAAAACCACGGCACATTTATTGTAGTAAATGCAGAGACAGGTGGTCGAGGGGAGAGGGTCGCTCAGTTCGTCCTTCTGCAGCCGCTTTGGAGAGAGACTCCGGGCCGCTGGGATTAATAGCACCGGCTACGGAGGTGTCCGTGATCGCGCTGATTACCCTCTTCAGCTCCACCCCACCGTAAGACAAAGGCCCTGAGGCCGTCACACTCTTCTATAACAACAGTTAAAAATATATATGTATATAAAATATACCGCTGTACCGACGCCATGATAAGACTGATGTTACGCTGAGAGCAGCCGGGAAAAGCACTGACATGGGCGCAGCCTCTCTGGTGGTTGACTAATCAGAACGAGTGGCCGAGCTGACCAATCGGAGCACACTAGGCTCACAGGGAGGGGGGGGCAAGAGCTCCAACGAGTCGTTTAGTGGAGAAAGTGAATACTGCTGAATACACATGCTTGACAGAGATGCTGTATGCGAAACCAATGTGAGTTTGGAAAATTGCACAGTATAAATCTATTTTAGTATACCTCAACAATGTAATTATGATCAGTGGAAATGGCCATGACATGGGCCCTTTAAAACTCAAATGAAGATGGATGGAGTTTTTGAGGATGTGGACCTGAGGCCTGTACTACGAATCTAGTTCAACCTAACCTGGATATGTTTGAGTTAGCCGGTTGGCCCAATCCAAAACATACGCGCTCTCGCTAAGCTGTACTACGACGCTGGTTA